GCTCACTGCAACCTCCTCCTCCTGGGTTCAAGCGATGATTCTGCCTCAGTCTCCCAGTAGCTGGGACTCGGGAGTGCGCTACCACGCCTGGCTAATTTTTGTATTTTCAGTAGGGTTTCACCATGTTGGCCAGGCTGGTCTTGAACTCCTAACCTTAGGTGATCCGCCCGCCTGCGCCTCCCAAAGTGCCGGGATTACAGGCATGAGCCACCGCGCTCAGCCTCAAGATACTATTTTTAAAAAGACCTAAATGCCCCATTTCTTGATATCTAATTAAGATCTCAACCCAGATTAGTGATTACTTATACCCTCTCCTCTTGGATACCCCACATCGCATCAGATTTCTGTACAGTGCTTCTTGACCGACCTACACCGGAAAGGGGCTTCTGTATTAAGAGGTACTCGGGAAGTCCCTAAAGGACTGAAATCCAGGACCAGAGAGGCCACTGGTTACCCCAAATAGAACGCCCGCCTACAGAGGGCATTTTCAAATTCACCTAATTATTCCAGAGCTAGTTTGTAGGATGATGGACTGGGGGCATGAGAGAGTTTCCTCCAGGAGTTATCTTCCCCCATCCCCTATAACTCTGAGCTCTCTTTTCCGCGGCTTGCTCTTGGCACCAATAGAGTAGCTTGCAGCTCTGCCCCTCTGTGATACAGCGGCCCTCCACCCCCACCCATCACCAAGACCTGAGACTGCCGCCTGTTAGTGACTAGCAAATCAGCCCCCCATCTATTTACCCCACTGCTACTGTCTTAAATTGGGCCTTCTCCATATCCAGCCTGAGTCATCACCAAGCCCATTAACTGGAGATCCTCCCACCTGTGCAGCGGCTCCTCACACCCCGACTACACACTCCATTCTTGCACCTGCTGTCAGAGCGGTATTTCTGAAACAGCAATTTGATCTTGTTACTTGACTACTTAAAATGTGATTGGTTCCCTTCAGCTTTTTCTAGGGACTTTTCAGTCTGGAGTTCTTACATAGAACTGAATTTCAATATAATTCCAAACTCTGCCAATAACAGGAATGAACTTAGAAAAGGATCTAAAGCTTCATATGAGAAAATAGGGACACATCTGAAGTTAACCATTTCTCTGAGTCCTGGTTCTTGTTAGAGGGAAATGGCATTTAATTATTACATAATTATGACTATATATATGGGAGTTTATTAAGTATTAACTTACACAATCACAAGGTCCTACAATAGGCTGTTTGCAAGCTGAGGAGCAAGGAGAGCAAGTCCAAGTCCCAAAACTGAACAACTTGGAGTCCGATGTTCAAGGGCAGGAAGCATCCAGCACAGGAGAAAGATGTAGGCTGGGAGGCTAGACCTATCTCGCCTCTTCACGTTTTTCTGCCTACTTTATATTCACTGTTAGCTGATTAGATGGTGCCCACTCGATTAAGGGTGGGTCTGCCTTTTCCAGCCACTGACTCAAATGTTAATCTCCTTGGGCAACAACCCTCACAGACACACCCATGATCAATTTTACATCCTTCAATCAAGTTGACACAAGGTATTAATCATCATAAATCCACCCCTTGACAACTTGAACCCATACACATCTCCTGAGATCATACATAATCTTCATGTAAAACAATAATAAAGTCATAATTACACCTAACATAATACAACTATCCTTTGTACAACCGGAAATGTACCAGTCCCCAACTTAAGTACTATTACATAAAGTTAACAATACTTAAATGCTGATATGAAGTCAATAAATCTTAGGTCATATGATAAAAAAGATAAAATGAAGATGTTTTCTTAGTGCAAGTGTATACATGTACAAACATGTTTTTAACAAAAGAAGGAGGAAATATGACAATTACAGTCCTCGTTTCTGCAGCTGGTCACGTTGTCATAGCTGGTATTGATGACTACCTTTTTCTACTACCCATTCTATATTCCCTTTGCCTTCAGCAAGCACCTGAGCAGGTTGTGGTTTTTTTCCTGGTGGAGTGACCCAAACCTTCATTCCTGAAGGGTCTGGGCTATTTGTCGTCCTGCCTGGATTGGACTGTTGTAATTTCTCATTATGGTAATACTAAGAGATGCGCTATAGGATCTCCTGTATTCCATCTGTACTTTTGCTGACCTCCACTGTGGAGTAGTAGACTGATTTCATCTTAATAGTCTAGGTCAGTCACCCCAGCCAACACTGCAACTCTCTTCTAAGCCTGTTAACTTAGGAGGTGCCCAAAGTATCCAAGTGGCAATCTTAACTCCCAGTTTAATGGAATCGTTGTTGTGTCTCTTGGTGGCAGCATTCCTCTCTCTGGAACTATGATGTTTAGGCCAGCAGAACATATGTTGCAGGAACACGAAGCAAAAATGTTGCCAGTGGATCATAGGGGTGATGGTGAGTGGTGCCATTTCCACCCCTTGATTCCTGGACCCATGAATCCTGGCTCTGGAAGAAACAGTACTGAGGGAATGTATTCTCTTCCCATGTCCACCAGGGGGCGCTGTTTCAAAGGCAAGAACTTCACAGTGCCTTACCTCCAGCCACCTCTCCATCCGGGATCTTAGAGGTCTTTGTTTAAACTTTCGTGAACACAGGAAAAAAATTGAAGATCAATCACCTCAGTAGAAGTTTAAAGGAACTGGTTTCATAGGCCAAAGGGCTTGGATGGAGTGGGAATTCCTTTCAGGTTAAAAGTCCCCATTCCCCATATTGGGGTGGACTCCATATCTGGATCCCCTTCCATTACTTCATGGAAGCTCTTTTTCTTTCTCCTTTTCTTCTCTCTCCCCTGAATAAATCACTGTCTGTAAAACTCTTCAGGGTCTGATATTTACTTGCAAGTGCACTGCACCTGGCGGCGTCCTCTCTTCCATTCTTGGGTGAGTTAGGGACCAAGAGCCTGGAAAAAACAGCCCACCAGGGTACAAGCTAAGCCTCCCCTGGGTCCCGGAACCTGGTCACATTAGCATATATTGGATGCTGATTCAGAGCCTACATGGCCTTCTGAAGAACTTTGCCCCAGTCATGCAAAATATTATCACCTAGTTGGTGTTGTAGTTGTGATCTCAAAAGGCCATTCCACCATTCTATCCAGCTGCTTCAGGATGATTGAAAACATGGTAAGATCAGCGAATTCCATGAGCATGAGCCCATTTACTGCACCAAGCATGAGCGGTAAAGTGAGTGCCGTGGTCAGAGGCAACACTGTATTGAATACCATGATGGTGGATAAGGCATTCCGTGAGTCCACAGATAGTAGTCTTGGCAAAAGCATTGCACACAGGATAGGCAAACCCATATTCAGAGTAAGTTTCTATTCCAGTGAGGACAAATCTCTGCCCTTTCCATAATGGAAGAGGTCCAATATAATCAACCTACCACCGGGTAGCTGGCTGATTGCCCTGAGGAATGGTGCCATATGAAAGGATCAGCGTTGGTCTCTGCTGCTGGCAAATTAGGCACTCAGCAGTGGCCACAGCCAGATCAGCCTTGGTGAGTAGAAGCCCATGTTGCTGAGCTCGTGCATAACCTCCATCCCTGCCACCATGGCCACTTTGTTCATGGACCCATTGGGCAATGACAAGGGTGGCTGGGGAAAGAGGCTGAGTGGTGTCCACAGAATGGGTCATCCTATCCACTTGATTATTGAATTCCTCCTCCACTGAGCTCACCCGTTGGTAAACACACATGGGATACAAATATCTTCAGTTTTTGACCACTCGGAAAAGTGCATCCATGTACCTCTTACCCAAATTTCTTTGTCACCAATTTTCCAATCATGCTTCTTCCAAGTCCCTGACCATCAAGCGAAACCACTGGCTACAGCCCATGAATCAGTATATAATCGCTTATCTGGCCATTTCTCCTTCTATGCAAAGTGCACAGCCAGGTGCGCTGCTCAAAGTTTCTGAAGTTTCTCCCGCTGGGAAGATCTTCCTTCACTGCCATCTTTCAGGGATGTCCTAAAAAGGAGCTGTAGTGCTGCAGCTGTCCACTTTCAGGTGGTGCCTGCATATCATCCAGAACCCTCTATGAACCAGGCCCTAGTCTTCTCTTCCTCTGTCAATTGATCATAGGGAACTCCTCATGAGGCAATCTGTGCAGGCTCGGGGAGAGAAGGCAGGGTGGCAGGAGTGGGTACCATGGGCATTTAAGCCACTTCCTCCTATAATTTACTTGTGCCTTCAGGACCTCCTCAAGCCCGATCACATATATACCACTTCCATTTGATGATGGAATGCTGCTGTGCATGACCTACTTTACGGCTAGATGAGTCAGAAAGCACCCAGTTCATGATAGGTACTTCAGGTCCCGTAGTGGCTTGATGACCCATCGTTAAACATTCAGTTTCCACAAAAGCCCAGTAACAGGCCAAGAGCTGTCTCTCGAAAGGAGAGTAGTTATCTGCAGAAGATGGCAGGGCCCTGCTGCAAAATCCTAGGGGCATCCACTGTAATTCACCTATGGGACCTGCCAAAGGCTCTGAACAGCATCCCTATCTGCCACTGACACCTCAAGCACCATTGGACCTGCTGTGTCATGTGACCCAAGTGGCAGAGCAGCCTGCACAGCAGCCTGGACCTGTTGCATAGCCTTCTCCTGTTCTGGACCCCACCAAAAACTGGCAGCTTTTGGGTCATTCGATAAATGGGCTGGAGTAATACACCCAAATGAGGAATCTGTGTTGCCTTCAAAATCCAAATAGGCCCACTAGGCATTGTGCCTCTTTATTTGTAGTAAGAGGGGCCAAATGCAGCAACTTATCCTTCACCTTATAATGAAAATCTTGACAGGCCCCACACCACTGGGCCCTTAGAAACTTTACTGAGGTAGAAGTTCCCTGAATTTTAGTCAGATTTATTTCCCATACTCTGGCACACAAATGTCTCACTAATAAGTCCAGTGTGTTTGCTGCTTCTTGCTCACTTGATCCAATCAGCATAATGACATCAATATAATGGGCCAGTGTGGTGCCTTTTGGAAGCAAAAGGCAATCACATTCTCTCTGAGTAAGATCATGACACAAAGCCGGAGAGTTGATATGCCCCGACGTAGGATAGTAAAGGTACATTGCTGGTCTTTCCAGCTGAAAGCAAATTGCTTCTGGTGGGCCTTATGGACAGGAATGGAGAAAAAGCTATTTGCCAAGTCAATGGCTGAATACCAGGTACCAAGAGATATATTAATTTGCTCAAGCAATGAAACCACATCTGGTATTGCAGCTGCAATTGGAGTCACCACCTGGTTAAGCTTATGATAATACAGTGTCATACTCCAAGATCCATCTTTCTTCTGCATGGGCCAAATGAAAGAGTTGAATGAGGATGTGGTGGGAATCACCAACCCTGGGTCTTTCAAGTCCTTGACGGTAACACTAATCTCCACAATCCCTCTAGGGTGCAATATTGTTGCTGATTTACTATTTTTTTATTTACTTTGTTTTAATTGACCATTTTTCTAGGTAGAGGCAGCTCAAATGGCTTCCTCTGGGCCCTTCCTACCATAGTAACCCTTACCCTTCCAGTCAGAGAGCCAATGTGGGGATTCTGCCAGCTGCTAAGTATGTTTATGCCAATTACACATCCTGGCACTAAGGAAATGATGACAGAATGAGTCCAGAGACCCACTGTAAGTTGTACCTGAGCTAAAACTCCATTAATTACCTGATCTTTTGTTCCATATAGGAAACACACAAGGGGAAAAGAAAAGGCACACACAATACTTTTAAGGGTAAACAGCCTTTATACCAAGGATGTGACAATACAGATATAATAAGCAAATCACAGTGGGAAATGGAGAGGGCAGATATTTGCACATACACACATACACCCAATAGACTGTGGAGGAATTATCACCAGACTGAGAAGCCAGGGCTCCAGAGTCAGCCATCCATCCACACACAGATGAGGAGAGGTCTCGTGGAGCTTCAGTGCAGTCTGGGACCATAGCTCTTTCATAATGAGTTGTTTGGCCCAGTCACGAGGGCCCTTTGTGCCTGAGCTCAAGGACACAAAAAGGTCAACTTGTTTTTGCGATTGTCTGTTGCTTTTCAATAACTAACATACAAGAACAGATTTCTCCAAAACAGTGCTGGATGAATGCCTCAAGGGGTTCATGCAGCCTGTTCTGAGATTGGTGACCATTGTTTCTGTCCACGTTCAACTAAGTTCAAATTTAATGTTTAACTTTTCCTCCACACCTCCATAATCCTGCACTTTAAACTGGAGGATCACAATGATGTTTTGGGTCTCCTGGAATCAACGTCAGCTCAGAGCCAGTGTCCAGTAGTCCCCAAAATGTCTGATCACTTCTCTTTCTCCAATGCCCAATTACCCTGGTAAAATGTCGGGGGTCTCCTTGGGGAAGAATGAGAGAAAGATTCACTGCATAAATTGCCAGTAATGTAGTGGGGTTCTTCGTCAAGGGGACCAGGCCTACCCTTCATTCGAGGGGTTCTGGGTCTGTAAACTGGCTCAAGTCTGGAAACTGATTGAGGGACCATGATTCTGTTTTTATGATTCAAATTAATCTTTTGTCCATTTGACCTAGAAGTTTTCTGTTTGTATAATTTAAGCAGAAATGCAGTAGGCTTCCTATGAATTTCACTTCTAGGAACACTGTGATTAATTAGCCAATGCCAGAGCTCTACACGTCAGATCACTCTGGTTGCCACTTTGCCTCTGCTCTCCATGATGTTAGCTATGCCCACCTTGCCTTTGACAGGTCAGTGCCACCATTTGGCCCCTGCCACCTCAGGATCCAATTATTTCCGTTGTATTTAAATTTTGTAATTCAGTGACTGTGATTCCCACTGTTAGATCCAACATACAGAGAAGAGCAATTACGGGGCTCTTCAAAAATGCAGATGCTGCCCTCACAAATCTATTTAGCAAGGCATTGGTCAGGGGTATATCTTCTGGACCCTCCCAGCTGGGATGAGTAGGTCTAAAGTGACTAATCCACTCTGCCATACCAATCTCCCTAAGCCTCTGGATCCCTTCCTCTACATTAAACCAAGGGATATTAGGCATTTCCAGCTCGCTCACTGTGGGTCATCTTTTAATCCATATTTCAGCTAACCAAGCAAATAAACTATTAGAACTTTTTTAACTCCCTATACTGCAACATTAAAGGCAGAATCCCTGCTTAGTGGGCTCAAATCAATATAGTCAGACTGATCTAGTTCGATGTTCCTTCTGCCATTATCCCACACCCTTAATATCCATTCCCATGCCTGTTCTCCAGGTTGCTGTTTATATAACTTAGAGAACTCAAACAGTTCTTTTAGAGTGTAGTGCCCCTCCTCATGGGTCATACTCTGAACCTCACTCTTGAGGCCCACTGAGACTCTAGTCTAGTTATAGGTCTAGAGGCAAACCGAGGTGTTGGAGGAGAATCAACATTATCTTGCCTAACAACTGCCTCAGGGGAGGCCATCACTGTTGCCCCAGGCAGCTCAGGTTTTATCTCCTCAGACAAAGGTGGAAAGGCTGATGGCAGCTTGGGTTGGGTAGGGGATGTTGCCACTACTGTGGATGGGGAAGCTGGTTAAAAAATGTTCATTAGAGTTTACAAACTTAGTGTCCCCCAACTTCATCAGGGTCCTCCCACACATCCCCATTCCAAGTTTCAAGGTTTCATTTTTTCCAACTGATGCCCTCACTTTAACAGTAGACACCTGGCGAGGCTGTGCATGCGCCTTTCATTGCAAGTCTGCCACTCACATTATGAGCTTGTATCTGTTTTTCCACAGTTTCAGCTCTTTCACTACAGGAGATAAGACTTTCACTCAGGGCAGTCTTTGCAGATTTGAGGTTCAGTATTTGCTTCTGAAGCCAGGAGAAAGAATCTCTGAGTTTATAATTTTCTTTCATCACTTTGTCCACTGAACTTAGGAGCAACCAGCTAGCTTCATTATGTTTCTTGGTTCTTCACATATGGTCAAAGGTATTATGTATAGTCACTCAACTCCTTGCCTCTCACAAGTGGTGTATCAAAATGCATTTATTTTGTATAACTCTCCAAACAGTTTCTGCCAAGGACTTTCAGTGTTCTCCACACTATTAGAAGTAGAGTCCTTAGCATTTTTGAGTCTAATCATATTAAGCAGCCAACTCCAGAAACCCCAAAACCAATGAAAGAACTCCATCCTTAATATTCTGTTCCTTTAGAACTGTTGGGGTTCAGGGATTCAGGGGAGCCCTCAGCTTCCCTGAGAGGATGTTCCTCCAGGTTCTGGGTCTATCACTCTCTCAAGAGTGAGAGAGGAGACCACAGCATAATGAGCTCATAAAATAAATACCAGACCTTAAAAGTGTTGCAGAAAAGTGATTTATTTAGGCAGAGAGAGGAAAAAGGAGAAGGAGAGAGAAAGAAAAGCTAGCTCTCATATTGAATGAGAGAAAGAAAAGCTGCTCTCACACTGAGTGAGAAGGATTCTCAGAGGGAGAAACCAGAGAAGGAAAATTCCCTCACACTAAGTCAGAGAAGCCAGAAAGATGGAATCCAGGAGAGGAAAAACAGCTTCCACACTGGGTGGAAGGGGACCTCAGAGGGGAAAATCCAGGAGGGGAAAGAGAGCTCCCACTATGTGAGGGGATTCCAGAGAGCTGGAAATCTGGTATGGGTGAAGGAGCAGGGGAATTTATCCTAGGAGTGGTTCTTACATGGAGGTAGGAGAGCAAAGAGCAGGAAAAACTGCCACTTACAAACCCACCATATCTTGTCAGAATTCACTCACTATCATGAGAACAACATGGGGGAAACTGTCACCATGATCCATCACTTTCCTCCCTCCATGTCAGGATTACAATTCGAGATGAGATTTGGGTAGGGACGCAGAGCCAAACCATATTAGTGAAATACATGCTGAAAGATTAATCACTGAAATGGCAATGCAGAAAACAAAATTGGGTTCTTGAATATGATAGCAGGAATGGAGGAAAATGCTTGATAGATCTTTCAGGATGCAGAGCAAAAATCCCAAGAGATGGGAAATACAGCATAGTTTTTTTAAGAAAGAAAAGAACAGTCCAGGAAATCTAACATTCAAGTATTAAAAGTTTTAGAAAGCAAAAAAAAAAAAAAAAAAAAAAAAAAAAAAAGACAGAGAAAACTCACAGAAGGAAATCTCCATGGCAATTATTTAATGAAATTTCTTAGAACTGAAATCCTTTCCTGAATGCCTAACTCAACAGATAAAATCAAGCACAGAAAAGCATAGCACCATGAAGTTTCAGAATACTGTTATACAATAGTTCGAAATTATTTGGAAACCCTTCAAGCCTCCAAAGAGAAGAAGAGTTCGCAAGCAAAGAATCAGGAATAAAAATGAATTAGAAGTTGTCAAGAAAAATACTGCAAGTTAAAAGAAAAATGTAATATTTTCAGGCAGAATTTGGAATTACTATATACCCTTTCTCAAGAAAATACTGGAGCATATGTTCTGTGCCAGGTGAATTTTCCCTGACAATTTCCCTGACACGGAATTTCCCTGACACAGACAGGCCTGCATAGCACTTCAGTTACACAAATTTCCACAGAGCTGCCTTAACATTGAGCAAATAGTTAAACCTAGGGAAATCAGTGCCCAGACATCAAAGCTAGAAATGAAACATATGGTCAAGGCTTCTCCCTAACCAGGAGCAAATTAAAATAATAGAGACAGTCTTACTTTCCTAGTGCCAGGACCCATCTCGGGTCAACAATATCTGAGCTGAATCAAGGTAAGAGAGGCAGCTGTTTGAATGGATTCATTGGAGAGTCTAAGCAGCTCTCCAGACAAAGCTGTAAAGGAGACAAAAGAGAAGTCATTGCTCCGGTACCACAGTAGACAGGCCTTGAAGGTAATGGGGCCCTTTTAATCAGACTTAGCAAGCATTTTTTGCCTGACCCTCTAGTTGAAACAAAATTAGTTACCAATAGACTTAGACAAATGTTATACTGCACATGGGCACATAACCCCAACCTATATAAGCACTAAGGAAATTGCAACACTTTGAGTTGGTCTGGTGGAATTACCTCTGGCCTTCTCCCTGTATCCAGTTATAGTAATACACTGGGCAACGATTTGATAACTCACCAATTCTTATATGTGTCAGACTGCCTGATTCCTTCACTTGGCCGAGATTTACTACGCAAGTTAGAGGCTCCACCTGGAGAAACGTCGGATGTGTCTTCAAGTGCCTCCAGAGCATGGACTGCTGCTGCAAGCACTGCCGGTGAGCACTGAGGAACTCACAATATCCTGTGGACGCTCATCAGCAAGGAGTTCCAGCACGATATTATTGGGCATATAGTCGTCCCTTTTCCACGTCTGATTTACTGAATTGGAAAAATTCCAATTCTTCCTACAGGGCAGATCCCCAGAAAATGACCCAACGGTTTACCACCCATTGCCCTACATGAGCTGATGTGCAAGCCCACCTAAACATTATGCTCACAGCAGATGACAGAAGGCTAGTATTAGGTAAGACAAAGCAGGAAGCACGGTGCCTTCATGACAAAAGCCCCAATTATACCTGGACCCTAATGAGGCAACTCCCCAAACTGACCTTAATTGGGATCCTAAGGAGGCAGGTGGAGGTGGGATGAATCAACTGGAACCCTATTGAAAGTGGATCCTAAAGGACATTGGATCAAGGGTGCCAAGACCTGAAAGTCTGAACAAAATACAGGCACTTCAGCAGAAACCTGTTGAGGACCCCTCAGAATTTGTGGTACAGATCTGTCAGACATATAGGAAGTATACAGAGTTAGACCCACAGGACCCTGAAAACGCTAGAATGGTGAATATGACCTTTATAGGGCAAAGTGCCCCAGACATTAAGAAGAAACTACAAAAAGTGGAGGAGGCAATTAGAATGAAGCTTCCCAAATAATCAACATTGCATTTAAGGTATATAATACTGGGGAGGCCAAGGAAACCAAGGCACTTTGGCAGGCAGCTATACACCTGGTAGCTGCAAGAGGAAGCCCAAGAACAAAGGACCCCCAAGGCAGAAAGGGAAAACAGAAAAGGACCAGTATGCTTACTGTCAGGAAATAGGGCATTGGAAGAGAGACTGTCCCAACTTAAGTCAGAAGGAACCCAGGTCACTTATGGCTGTCAAGCCCAGAAATGAATCTGAGGAAAACTGAGGGTGCCCGAGACTCCCAACAGCTCCAACTCTATCTGACGTCAAAATCTTCCCAGAGGAGCCTCAGGTAAAGATGATGCTGATGCTAGTTATTCAGGAGTTAATACACCAATCAGTAAGCTTTCTGACACTCTCTGTCAATACACTCCAACTATATATACCCCAATATACCCCGACAATATACCCTCACTCTATTGACAGAAAGTGTCAGAAAGCTTACTGATCGGTGTATTAACTCCCGAATCAGAACAGTTCCTGCAACCCTTTCAGGTAAAGTGGGCAATGATTTGATAACTCATCAATTCCTTCATGTGTCAGACTGCCCGATTCCTTTACTTGGCAGAGATTTACTCTGCAGGTTAGAGGCTCAGATCATCTTCCACCTGGAGAAATGTCAGGTGTGTCTTCAAGTGGCTCCAGAGCACGGACTGCGGCTGCAAACACTGCTGGTGAGCACTGAGGCCCCACAACCTGAGGCAGAGGCAATTCATTAAGAGGACTTGGAAAAGGTGAAGCCAGAAATCTGGGCATCAGACCAACCTGGGAGAGAAATTAAGGTGAGTCCAATAAAAATCAAACTAAAGGCAAAGGACCAATCTGTCTGAAAAAAACAATACCCCTTAAAGAAGGAAGTCTTAGAAGGTATCCAGCCAGTATTAATCTGGTTTTTCCAATATGGCTTAATAAGGCCTTGTCAATTCTCATACAATACTCCTTTCCTGCCAGTAAAGAAGCTTCATTCCCATAAATATAGGTTTGTGCAAGATCTCAGAGCAATTAATGAGATCGTGGAAGACATTCACCCCACCGTGGCTAACCCGTATGCTATACTATGCTTGCTTCACTACCTAAGAATCAGAAATGCTTTAACAGTGCTAGACTTAAAGATGCCTTCTTTTGCCTACCAGTGGAAATAGAAAGCCAACTATTGTTTACTTTCGAATGGACAGAACCTGAGACAGCTGTAGTTTCAATATTGCTGGACCATGCTCCCTCAAGGGTTTAAAAACTCCCCGACCATATTTGGAGAGGCTTTGGTTCAAGCCTTGAGAGGCTTGCAATGAGTAAATGGGGTGCTACTTCAATATGTGGACAATTTATTAGTTTCTGGCCCTGCAAAACAAGAATGTCAAAAAAAAAAACACTGTAAAGACCCTAAACCACTTGGCAGCTTGTGGGTATAAAGTTTCAAGTCAGAAGGCCCAAATATGTAAGCAAACTGTAGAATACTTAGGGTTTCTGTTACAAAGAGGAACCCACCTCTTTGTAACAGAAGGAGGACCAGTCCACCACAATTTATGTGCCACACCAAGTCTCGGCGTTGTCAGAACAGAAAGGTGGCTATTGGCTAACGGCGGGCAGATTAGCCTGATACCAGGCTATCCTGCTTGATGACCCCCACATTGAAACTGCGGACCATTGGAACCTTAAACAAACCTCGCCACTTTGCTGCCACCTACTGGGGAATCGCAGGAACTAACACATGATGGCCTGGAAGTTAATTGATCAGGTAGGTATTTTCTAGCTTCCCAGATTTGAAGGACACCGCCCTCTCGCGTGCAGACTGGACATTGTTCGTCAACGGGAACAGTTTAGTCATCAACAGAAGGAACGCTGCCTATGCTGTAATGAGTCTCTCCAAGGTAATAGAGGTAAGAACTCTCCCAACAGGGACTCTTGCACAGAAAGCTGAGTTAATTGCCCTTACCAGAGCCTTACAACTCTTCCAAGGTAAGAGCGGCAACATCTACACTGATTCCAAATACACCTGTATGATAGTCCACGCACAGGGTGTTATCTGGAGAGAAAGGGGCCTACCGAAGACTGTCAATACTGAAATCAAATATGCAAAGCAAGTGTTAGAGCTACCAGAGGCAATAAAGGCCTCAAGAGAAACAACTATTATGCATTGCCCAGGCCATCACAGCAACAATTCTGAAGTAGCTAGGGGAAATGCTTTCTCAGAGCGCATAGCCAGGCACCTAGCCGGCACCAACGTTGACATCCAGGCACCTTTAATTACCAAAATAGATTTGGCAGCCTTCAAACCCAGCTATAGTCTTGAAGATGAAAAGATGGCCAAAGACAAAGGGTTTATTCAGGATGAAAATGGCTGGAAATGGAATGACAAAGGCCTGGTTTAGGTGTCAGAGCAAATTCCTCACCCAATACTAAAATATATTCATGATGGCACACATTTTGGACAAGATGCCTCGTTAACTTTTGTACAGAAGTACATGAAAGGAAAAGGAGTGAGGGGACACTTGGAAAGTATAATCCAACGACACTGTTTTTGTACTAAAAATGAGCCCAACAACTATAATACAGGACAGCCTGGCGAGCAAAGGAGAGGGAAATGATCACTAGACAACTGGCAAGTCGACTTTACTCAAATGCTACCTGCCCCAGGAGGGAACAAATACCTCCTAGTTCTACTGGACACCTTCTCAGGCTGGGTAGAGGCATACGCACGCTGCTCTGAGCAGGCAATGGAAGTAGTTAAGGTGCTGTTAAAGGAAATCATACCTCACTATGGGTTTCCTGACATGATCCAGAGTGATAATGGAGCTTCACTCACATTGGAAATAACCCAACTAGTAATTAAAGTGCTAGGGATAAAGTGGAAGCTACACACAACCTGGAAGCCTCAGTCCTCCAGACAAACTCAGAGGATGAATCATTAAAAACAACTCTCGCCAAGCTACGTCAGGAAACACAGCTAAAGTGGCTTCAGGTTCTGGGGACGGCACTGCTCCGGGTAAAAACAGCCCCTAGAAGTGGGATCAAGTTAAGTCCCTATGAAATCATTTCAAGAGGCCTTTTGCAGCCAGCTTGTCCCAGGTCGCTAGAATGTCTCCAGACAAGGAACTAGCTGTTAAAACTTATGCCACTCACTTGGGACAAACTCTTGACCCCTTGCATAAGTTTGCTTCTAACAGAAACGTCATAGGCTCCATGGACCACCCATTCCAGCCTGGTGATCAAGTGCTACTGAAGGAATGGAAGGAAGCTGGTCCTGCCCAACAACTACAGGAGAAATGGAAAGAGCACCACGATGGGCTGTTAACTACTGACCCGGCACTGAAACTAGCAGGCATCAAACCTTGGGTTCATCCTGTGCAGGTAAAGAAATTCCAGTCACCTGAGACCTCTACTACAGAAACACCTGTGGCCACTCAGTGGGAGAAAGAGCCCCTAGAGGACCTGAAGTTTCTATTCAGAAAGCGGTAAGAATTCCTTTTATCCTACTCTTTCTGTTTACACCTAGTATTGTTTCTGCACATACTTCTAACCTCTTTCTGCAATGGGCACAGATCTATGCAGATAGCCTTCAGTGTGATTCCTGGTGGGCCTGTGGCCTATTACCCCTTTCTAGCACCACAGGTTCACTGTGGTGGGTCTCACCTATGCAAGGGAAAGACTGGAGACATTTACAAGTCTTCCTGGATTTAAAACACTGGACCGGGTCACAAATGATGGGAGTGAGTGGGGCAAATGCGTCAGAATGGCCCATAAACACAACTTTAAATGATCCAGGACATGAAAAGCCATTCTCAATGAATGAAACAAGAGATGAAGTTATAGCGCTAGCTCCTCCCTTGTTAGACCCCAACGTGCCCATCCAAACTTTTAAACCCCAAAATGTTTGATACCAGAGTGGCTTTCTCCAAATTTGGGATGGACTCACATGGTTAACGACCTCTACCGGGCACCTGAGTCAACTAGCCCGCTTGAGTTGTGAACAACGAAACCACTCCCTCGGCTGCTGTCCCAACGCCATGCGGGTTATGGATGGATACTCCCAGATCAGTGCCAACATATTATAGTGCTCCAGAAAAGGGATGCATTTGCCATAGATTGGTCACAATGACCTGGCCTACAGATTGGGAGCAACGGCCCGGTACGCTCCCAACAGGACTCGATGGCTTTGCGGCACCAGTTGGTGGCCACGGCTCCCTGAGGGCTGGCTAGGGTGCTGCTCTCTAGGCCTCCCATGGGCACAAGGCCGCTGGGTAAAAAACAAAAAACAAAATCTAGCCAATCTTCCACACACGATTAATAGGTGCACTAGATCAGTCTTTCATTCGTATGCTCGTTTAGCTGCAATATTCATGCCCTCAGTTGGGCTAGAAACTGCTATGTGGCACATAGATGCCCCAGCTAACTTTACCCAAAGGGCTCAGAATGACAGCCTCGAGAGATCTCTCTGATAAATACTGAAGTGTATCATATGCGGAAGCTAGCCTACAAAACCGAATGGACTTAGACATCCTCACTGCAGCTCAAGGGGGAACTTGTGCCCTCATCAGAACCGAATGCTATGTGTGTATTCCAGATAACTCTGGGAACATTTCCCTGGCATGAAAAGATCTGCAAACTCAGGCAACCTCCAGCCTAGAGCTGTCACTAAATGACTGCCTT